GATGTTGCTAATAATGATGCAAATAATGTTATTGATGATGGTTAGTCAATATCGTTATTTTATTGAAATGGAAAATGTAAGACAACAGTTCTTCTATGTTGGCTTATAGACAGACATATAGTTATGTATTTGCTTAGACAGCAAAAGTTTTCTTTACAGCATAGGCATGTGTTTAAATATGATATTAGAGAGGAGAGAAAATTTTTAGTAGCGTTTACAAACATAAATAGTATTTGTTGCAATGTGTATGTCATTATAATGCGGTAAATTGTTCTATAACGCTATTATAATATATTATAATGTTTTTATAATGAATCATAAAGCATTATAATGTTATTATACATGATTTAAATGTATTTAATTTTATTATAACGTCATTATAATGAAATTGTATCTATTATAATACATTATTACGCTAATATAATGGATTATAAAGGATTATAATACATTATAACTCCAATATAATGGATTATAACAGATTATAATACATTATAACGCTAATATAATGGACTATAATACATTATAATTCTAATATAATGGATTATAATACATTATAACTCCAATATAATGGATTATAATACATTATAACGCTATTATAATTGATATGAAACATTATAACATCATTATAATGGAGTTTTAGACATTATAATGCTATTATAATGAATTATAATACATTATAACACCATTATAATGGAGATTAGTGTATTATAACAGTGTTAGAATTGAAACTAATGTATAATAAAGCATTATAATGCATTATTACGCTGGTATCATGGAAAACAATACAATATAATGATTATATAACATTATACAGACTTTATAATGCTTTAATAATGGCATTTTATGAACATTTTTAGTTATAGCTCTACAATTCTCCAAACGTCTAACATTTTTACTTCAACTAATATTTCCCTTTCTTCCTTTCTTGTGTAAATATACTTTGTTTGCTAATTTTATAACCTAAATACCAAAGAAGTCATCACCATTTATTTACTCTGCACTACTTGCCACTGCTGCCATAAATACTGGGTCTTACTTTTTTACATACAATTCATTCATTCATTCCTTCATTCATTTTTTTATATGCTAAGTAAATAGCTGTATTTTTTGCACAACTTTTTTTTTTTGCTACTCTAAGTATTTCTCATTCATATTCTTGACTATTTATTCTTAAGATTATATATAAAACACAAGACACTGTTATATACAGCTGCTGTCATACTGGTACTTTTTTATTGAAGAAAAAATCTACATATTTTATTGAAATGATATTGTCGTCTTCTTTTCTTATTTATTTGCTATTTGTATGTAAAAGTCAATGATTTTATGCTTGTTTTGAAGCCACAAAAAAATAAAGTTTTCAATATTGTAGCAAAAAAAAAAACTAATTTGTTGCAAAAATTTGTTCACAAAAGCAGAAATTAGAGAAATAAAGTTGCTACAAAACAATTTCGTTTTATTTATTTAACAAAAGAGCGCAACAATTTGTCAACAATTCTAGAGAATTTTTATTTATACGAATAGTTAGGAAATAATTTATTTGATTCTTAACAAGGCGTATGATTAATAATAGAATTTTGGCTAATTAAATATACACAGAAAAAACTGAAAAACGATTTCAATTACCAAAACCTCGTTTTTAATTATTTTATTTTTTGAAGTTCAACCTATAACAAAAATTGTATATTCAATTACTACTTATAATTGATTTCGTACACAAAATTTTTATTTTTTTCTATTTTTGTTGTTGTTAAATACGTATTTGATTATACATTTTTATGAATCAAATACAAAATGAATTGAACCCTTTTAAAATTTTTGATTAATCGTTTAATTGAAAATTTTTTAAAAATAATTTTTTCTGTGTACATAAAACATACGTCAGGGTGTTAGATGTAGGAAGAATATTCTTTAAATATTATTTGTTTTTTCTCGTTAAAAAATAGACTTAAAAGCCTAGAATTTGAGCAAATATTGGAATAAACATTAACTTTTAAAGTTCTTTAATGTATTATAACATTGTTATAATGAATTATAACTCATTATAAGTGTTATAATGTAATATAATGCTTTATAATATTATTATAATTTACTATAATGAATTATAATAGCGTTATAATGTTTTATAATGCTTTAAAATAGCGATATAATGTATAATAATGAATTATAATGCATTGTAATAGCGATATAATGAGTTATAATGCATTATAATATTGTTATAATGTATTTTAATGCATTATAATAGTGTTACAACGTAGTATAATGCATTATAATAGTGTTATAATTTATTATAATGCATTATAATAGTGTTATAATGTATTATAATGCAATATAATAGTGTTACAATGTAACATAATGCATTAGAACTTTTTATAATGAATTATAACTCATTATAATAGTGTTTTAATGTATTACATTACATTATAATAGTATTGCGATGTGTTATAACTCATTATAATAGTGTTATAATGTAATATAATGCATTATAAGTATGTTTTAATGCATTCAAATTTTGTTACGATGCATGATAATTCATTATAATAGTGTTATAATGTAATATTATTCATTATAATGTAAAATAATGCTTTCTAATAGCGTTACAACGTATTATAATGTGCAAGAACTTATTATAACAATGTTATAACGTATTATGAAGTATTATAATTGTGATATAATATATTATAGCTCATTATAATAGTATTATAATATATTATAACTTATTATAATAAACCCTATTAAGTGTTTAAATACATAATCAATTATAAATCTTATGAATGTTAAAATCCTTTATTTAAACTTTAATTTCCCTAAAAAGTCTCCCTACACTTAAGACAAATCTTTAAATTCCATTTCTTTATTATATGCTCTCCCCCTTTTAGCAAATTGCTACACTTATAGCATTTTTTATGCCTCTGAACCAATTGTTATTTATAAAATTGATTAAAAACTGGCCTTACTCTCTAGATATAATGGAAATTTTGTAACAAAACAATTGTAAAGAAACCTAAAACCTTAAAGAAAAAACTTTTTATTCAAACGCCTACAATTTAAGAAAATATTTTCAATTTCTATTTTCGATAATGCAAATAAAGTGTATGAGTGTTAAAAACCTTTAGCTAACAATCAATATAAGGATAAGAACAAACACATACATGACAAATAAAAAAGGACATTGCTATCAGCATCATTATTGTTATCATGACTTTATTGTTGTTGTATGTATAGAACATTCAAACAAACATGCATGTTTCTGTTATCAAGTGTATTGTATTGACTGTTTAAAGTTATAAAGGGAAAATGTAAATTTTAGCTTTCCTCCTTTAAAAATTAAAAAAAAAAACAAAATTGCTGATCCTGGCAATAATATGGTTGGTATCTTATTTGTTTAGCTAACCCCCTGCTCGTTTTTATTTGATTTTTTTTTTTTTTTTGTTCCTTCAAATCAAGCATAAAATTTTCGTATTTTTTATTAACAACAGCAGCAGCAGTTTCTTTAGCAGAAAAGGAAATAAAAAACTGAGATTATTTTTTTTGTATTCGACAAATTTTATAGGTTGTTATGCTCAGCATGCTGTGTAGCCCAAATGTGTTAAAAATGTAGATTATTTACATACATATTGCAAGAAATTGAAAAGGAAAATGTGACCATTGGTTTAAAGGGAAATGAAATAAAATTTCTTTAAAAATACCAATGTTTTGAGGTACGAAATATCTTTTTATTCGGAATATAAAGATAAAGATATTTTAAATGCCAAATCATGGCTAATAGGATTTATTTTTGGATCGAAGGACCAAAATTCAAAAAGTTATAGTTTTAAGAAATATGAAATGAAGAACTTTCAATAAACTTTGAATACGTCATTTTGGTTTTTTGTAGGTCGTAGGACCAAAATTTGTAGTTGCAACTTTTTTCTGTTTATTTCATTTTACTGGAATTTTTTTAGTTGGTCACATTTTCACTTCACTATCTTAAGCTTTTTCTGCATATGAGCACTTTATATTACACAATGACCCAGAGTGTGGAGTGTGTGTGTTTTTTTTTTTTTTTTTTTTTTTTTTGAAAACGTTTATATCTATTGATTAGTTTCGATTTACAAAGTTTAACTTTATTTTACATATTCACTCCCTTTGCTATACATTGCCAACATTCCAAGTACCTCCTTGTCAATGTATATTGTGTTCACTCTTATTGAAGCTTTACAAGCACAGGGTCTTATTAAAAAAGATTTTTTTTCATTTTCTTACATTTCATTGTAATAAAGATTTGGTTAGAGAGTCCTTTTTTCCAATTGGCAAACAAGTGTGTATGTGTGTGTATATGTTGGATAAATAGCAGTTGGTTTTCGTATTGTATTGCAAAGTGTGTATTGTATAAATACTAGGTTATTGTATTTGTTTGCTAGTGTGTAAGATTGTTAAACATGAGTTTCTTCTTCGCATAAGCTGTATCGTATTCTCGCATGTTTTTGTCATTATGGGTCATTATTGTCTTGTACATAAAATGTTATTTATTATTGCAGTATTAAATGTTTAAAAAGAGAATGCGTATGTATGTATATATGTAGGTTCTTATATAGCCGGACTAATTCTAATCGTATTGATTTGTAAAGAAAATTTTATTACTTTAACTATGAAAATGAAATCAAATGTAAAACAGGAAAATCTAGTTACAAATTGTCACTAATGACTTACATGTCATTTGCACAATGGAAACAGTTCAAAGGGACTGTATTATAAGCCATAAATTTAGGTGTATTTAAGCTATGGGGTGGTTCAAAGGACCCACTTTTATTGGGAATACTTTAAATGTATAAAAAACCATATGGTAGTTGAATTTTGGGTAATTCTTAAAACAAAATTAAACGAAATATACAGAAATGTAAACGTTAGCCGAACATAAAATGCTGTTAAGGCTCGAAGGAACAAAATCAAAATTTTTCTTTTATGAACATTAGGGTTTGAAATAGTTTTAATACTGATTTTTATTCCTTTCTTTTCAGGTTATGGCAACATAGCACCACGCACTACCCTGGGAAGACTAGTAACATTGGCCTATGCCTTCTTTGGCATACCCCTAACCCTGGTATATCTTTCCAGCACGGGTGGCATTTTAGCCAAGGTAGCACGCGAGGTATTCTCCAAAGCATTATGCTGTTGCTTATGCTCCAACTGTGGTTACTGCTGCTACGATGAAAAACGTATGGCGGAAAAGGAGAGACGCATGAAACGTAAACGCCAGCAGGAAGAGCTGCGCAAACAGCAACAGGCCATGCAAGAACCTTACTATGTCAGATCAGGCTCTATGCCCGATAACTTTCAAACGCCCGAGAAACAATCATTAGGCAATAATAGCATACAAATGCCCGACCTAGACTCGCTAAGTGCCAGTGAGTCTAGAGGCAGTATGCATGGCTTAGCCATATTGGCTCCCATTTTATTATGTTTTTCCATGATGATTATCTATATACTCTTTGGGGCTGTGGTATTATATAGGCTAGAAGAATGGCCTCTACTGGATGGTATTTATTTTTGTTTTATGAGTTTATCTACCATAGGATTTGGTGATATGATGCCCGGTTTCCGTCATGATTCAAATACCACCATATGGTTTTGTTCCATTTATATAATGTCGGGTATGGCTTTGACAGCTATGTGTTTTAATGTCATACATGAGGAGATAGTAAATCGCATAAAAATTGTGGTGGAATTTAAGAAATCCACGGCTTTGGATACAACGAATGAAGAGGCTAACTATTATATGCCGCCCTGACAATATGAAAAGAAACAGAATTTATATCAAAGAAATCCCACCGAAGAAACTTTGGTTACGGGTAAGTAAGGTTTGGTTCATTTTTATAAAATATCTATTTTATAAACAAATTTATATTTAATTTGTAAATTTCTCTTAACAGGCACTCCCACTTCTTTAGTGTTTGGCTCTCACAATGACTCGGATTTGAGTAATATACACAATTTAAAAGATTATGTCAATCATGAGCTAGTGCCTATCTTAACTATGGATCCAAATTCAACGGCTTCAACTTCTAGTAATCTGTTAAAATCAAATGTAAATTTACCCTTAACAAATCTTAATCAACTACCACCCTGTAGTTCAGCCACCTCACCACCCACTTCATGTAATGTCTTAAATTCATTGGGTAGTCCTCTTATGGATAACTTAACACCCACTACCCAATCTTCATTGGACTCGGTTAGTAATCATGCTTTGAAAGGGGTTTATACATTGGCTGAGGAACCGGAATTGGAGGCTCAAGAAACACAAATAGATCGTATTTAGTTAATATAATAAACTAGTTAAATGAGTAATAAAACTAATTTCATAAAAAACTAAGTTTTTGAAAACCTAGTTTTTTCTTAGTTCAAATAAACCTAAATTAAAACAATTTGTATATAAAATTCCCCTTTAAACTAAATACAACTGTTGTTAAATGCTAGCAACCTAATTTTAAATGATAATAAATTTAATAAAATTAACTATTAAATAAATTATTAAAAAAAAAAAAATAAAACTAAAATTATGTGACTGATACTTGCAACCTAACATATATACATATTTCTTAATAATTACAACAAAAAAGAAAAACATTTTCCAAAAATAAAAATAAACTTTAAAGGATTTTTTTATTGTAAAAATAGTAAAAAAGAAAAAAAAATATTTGTAATTTTTTTAGTCATTATCTAAATTAATTAACAAATTTTGTACTTTGTTTAAGTTTTAGTTAAATTAGTTATTAATAAAACAAAACAAATAAGTTAACTAAACTTAAACATAAAGGTAGTTTTTAAATAAAAAAAACAATTAATTATTTTTAAAATAAACGAGAATTGTTATAAAAACATACACAACAAAAAAAAACAAAATATTCAAGTAACTACAAGAAAATTTCATAGCAGAAAATAAAACCAAGAAAACAAAAAACAAACAAAAACGATTGTGTAAATGTATGATAAATAAAATAATAAAACAATTATAAAAAACAAAACATTTTCAAAAATCAATAAAAAAAATTAATATAAAAAATAGCAGTTTGTAAAAAATGTTTTAATTTATATTAGGATATCGATTATGAATTGAAGTTAATCTAAATCTGCAATCCTAAAACAACGCCTTAGTATTGAATACTGTATAATGAATTAAAACTAGACTGAACTAGAACTGAACTAGAACTGAACTAGAACTGAAATAGAATTGAACTAGAACTGAACTAGAACTGAACTAGAACTGAACTAGAACTGAACTAGAACTGAACTAGAACTGAACTAGAACTGAACTAGAACTGAACTAGAACTGAACTAGAACTGAACTAGAACTGAACTAGAACTGAACTAGAACTGAACTAGAACTGAACTAGAACTGAACTAGAACTGAACTAGAACTGAGCTAGAACTGAACTAGAACTGAACTAGAACTGAACTAGAACTGAACTAGAACTAAACTAGAACTGAACTAGAACTGAACTAGAACTGAACTAGAACTGAACTAGAACTGAGCTAGAACTGAACTAGAACTGAATTAGAACTCAACTAGAATTGAACTAGAACTGAACTAGAACTGAACTAGAACTGAGCTAGAACTGAACTAGAACTGAACTAGAACTGAACTAGAACTGAACTATAACTGAACTAGAACTGAATAAGAACTCAACTAGAACTGAACTGGAACTGAACTAGAACTGAACTAGAACTGAACTAGAACTTAACTAGAACTGAACTAGAACTGAACTAGAACTGAACTAGAACTGAACTAGAACTGAACTAGAACTGAACTAGAACTGAACTAGAACTGAACTAGAACTGAACTAGAACTGAACTAGAACTGAACTAGAACTGAACTAGAACTGAACTAGAACTGAACTAGAACTGAACTAGAACTGAACTAGAACTGAACTAGAACTGAACTAGAACTGAACTAGAACTGAACTAGAACTGAACTAGAACTGAACTAGAACTGAACTAGAACTGAACAGAACTGAACTAGAACTGAACTAGAACTGAACTGAACTAGAACTGAACTAGAACTGAACTAGAACTGAACTAGAACTGAACTAGAACTGAACTAGAACTGAACTAGAACTGAACTAGAACTGAACTAGAACTGAACTAGAACTGAACTAGAACTGAACTAGAACTGAACTAGAACTGAACTAGAAATGAACTAGAACTGAATTAGAACTCAACTAGAATTGAACTAGAACGGAACTAGAACTGAACTAGAACTGAGCTAGAACTGAACTAGAACTGAACTAAGAACTGAACCTAGAAACTGAACTAGAACTGAACTAGAACTGAACTAGAACTGAACTAGAACTGAACTAGAACTAAACTAGAACTAAACTAAACTGAACTATAACTGAACTAGAAATGAACTAGAACTAAACTAGAACAGAAATTAGAACTGGAACTAGAACTGAACTATAACTGAAGCTAGAACTGAACTAGAACTGTACTAGAACTGGAACTAGAACTGAACTAGAACTGCACTAGAACTGAACTAGAACTGAAACTGAAACTGAACTGGAACTGAAACTAGAACTGAACTATAACTGAACTAGAAATGAACTAGAACTGAACTAGAATTAAACTTGAACTGAACTAGAACTGATAAGATAAAGAAGGTGCAGACAGTAGTCCTAGTACTAGTTAGTTAGCGCATAAACGGGGCTGCTGAACGCACTTTTACTTTTTTACAATTCCCCGGCAGACTGGATAAACCTAATATAGTGTTTTTAAGAGCTCCTTCAATAATTTCTTACATTAGTGTACCTACTTGTCAATTTAGAGCATTTCCAATCCAACCCCACAAGTCTTGTCAAGTTTAATTTCCTTTGGAGCACCAATTTATTCCATCTTGTCTATACTTATTGCTTTCGGTTGCATGTCTTGCAACATATAAATTAAACACAAACACTTCGCATTTTAAATACATTTATACAGATTCACACTTTTTCTTTCTTATTGCTTTCGGATGCATTTTCTTACAACATTTGAAATAAACAAACACTACAAAAGTTAATTACATTTATATAAATTGCCTATTTAAACACTTTTCATTAAACATATTTTCTTATTAGACATTTTTCATTTATTTTCTTATTGCTTTTGGTTGCATTTTCCTACAACCTATTAAATAAACACACTAACACTTTTGATTTTAATTATTTACCAATAAATTTACTATTTAAACACTTCGTACCACGAATTTTATTTAATTTTTTCCGGAATTCACACAAACCTTACATTTTTTTCCTAAATTGTTTACAAGCTCACTAACTTAAAAAATAGCGGTAAACTCATTAGAAAAAAACAACAAAGCTTTTCAAACTGTATGAAAATAAGTGACATATATAAGTGTTACCAACTTTATACTACCAAAAAAGAGTTTTTTCTCGCAGAATTGTTATAAAAATTACAAAATTTTACTTTATCGCTTGATGGTCTATACTAAACAGCTGTGGCTTAGCAATACCCGCCATTTGCTGTGAAAAATTTACATGGTTTAATTTTTATAACAAAACTATAACAAGTTTCTAACGATTTAAAATATGTTCTAACTAAACAAAGTCTTCATTGACCGATAATTTACTGTTGGCCTATGGTTTGCTAACACACTTGGAAAGAATAAGACCTTTGGTTTGCAACACCACAGAATTAGGACTATATAAAACAGTTGGAGGTTTATGAAAGTAAACATGGAAAATTGGAAAACGGAAGATACATAAATTTAGCTCCGGAAGTAGAAGAGGATGTAGATATTATTGATTGTTTCTTTTTATATGATTGCCATGGTCTCCTATGCCATCCCTTGCCGGCTATTAAACAATATGTTTGCGCTATAGCAAACATCTTGATTAAATTTCAAAAACTATAGAATATGTTCAAAAATGTTTGCTTTATCAACCTAATGTTGTAATTGTACAATGTGGCGCTGATGTTATTGTATGAGATCCTTTTGGAGGCTCTAATTTAATCACTGAAGACTTAATCGCAATATTGCCTTGTTTAATATTGTGTGGTGGGGTCTCTAATTTTCCTAATTCTAGTCATTTATGATGCTCCCTGATGGCTACTGTTTGTGATGTCATTTAAAATGAAGATTTAACCATTAAAAGAGAGGCATTCTTAATGAATGTAATTGTTTAAATACTTAAAAAAATAATGTCTTTTTGTTGAAGGTAAGTCAAAAGGAATTATTAAATTAAATTTTTATTAACATTTAACAAATTGTAGATAAATAACAAGCTCTTGTGGGTAAGGAACCAGAATTGTAGGATCAAGAAACAAAAATAGATCGTATTTAATTAATATAAAATAGTTATGAACAGAATTTGCTGATTTTAAATAGGAAACTTCTCGAAAGTATGCCTGACAGAATTATTGAATATTTAGATCCCGAAGAAATCTGGGGTCTTCAGAAAATTCATTTAACAGACACACAGACGAACAGGCAGGCAAACGGACATGGCTAATCCGACTCTGTTATCTATAGGGATCTAGAAGATGAAGGGTATAAAATCAAACAAAATATTCAAATTATGAATATTACATACCAGAAAATAATACCAAGAAAAGAAAAAACAAAGAAATAAAAACGATTGTGTAAATGTATGATAAATAATATAATAAAACAATTTTAAATGTTTCAAAAAAAGTTATAGCAATACCGAGCCTGCTGAGAGCTCTTTTACCAGTGCCTCAGGTGGAAATGGAACCCACGACATTCTGTGTAACAGACCTGAATACTAGCTACTGAACCGTAGTAATCAATCTGTGCAATATTCAAAATGACAACATGGGCCTGGACACTATATATTACACTCCATTAATCTGGCACTACTTAATGCTATCCGAAACTGTCTTAACTATACAACAGAGGCAAATACATTTCCAAAGATATTACAACTCCCCGGTACATTGGGCAAACCAAAGTTATACCTGGTATTTTTAAGAACTGCTTCATGAATTTCTTACATGTACTTGTCAATTTACAGCATTTCCGGTCCATCTCTTATCAAGTTTAATATCCTTTGGAGCACCAATTTATTCCATCTTGTCTATTCTTAT